GTCATTTCCTTTTCTTGCTAGCTTTTTCTTTTTTGCTCTCTCTTTCTCACGTTTTCAATCTTTCTATCTTTCTTTATCGATTTTCTTCTCTTCCTCCCACTTTACTCTTCTTCTTTTTCTTCTTCTTCTGCCCCTTCTTCTACCTCATATATAAATATATTAATAATTATAAGAGTGCGTTCCCAACGGAGTAATCTTTATGGAAGCTAGATTTGTTGACCATTACTGCTGAGTGATACGTTCGATTCTCACTGGGTGTCTCATACAAAAGTTCGATATTAAATGACACGACATGGGTTGACATATCGTAAAATCAACATACCATTGGTAATAAAGATTAACGAGTATGGCATGATTCAACATTGCTACGTAAGTGAGTTCGATCCTCACTGCATACCCAGTACGAAATTCGATATTAAATAACCAAGTGTGGGCATGTCGTAATATCAATCAACCGCATCCAATAAGAACATCTGGCAAAGATCTGCAGATTGCAAAATGCTTGCTGCTGTTCGATATGCTTATTTTCCTGCCACCAGTCGCCATGAGAGACTGAGTATGTTTAAAGTGGACCAAGCACAAGAATTAGTCAGTTGCTGCGATAACCTTTACACGAGCATCGATACCTACAAATAAACAACCTTTACTGCAAATGACGGAGGTGCTAGCACAGGTTTGCCATTGTCGCCATTCCGTGTTTCCTTTGTTTTTGATTTTGTCTACTGCACAGTAGGGTCTGCTGGGCTCCGTCTGTGAGAAAAAAAAGAGCACCATTACGCAATTCCCTCTGCCAGAAATTTGGAAATGGAATACTGTACTGCTTGGCATTCGCGCCGGAACCTCCAATACGAACATTTCAGATTGTTTAGGTGTCAATTTGACGAGATGTTTAGAGGATTCAGAATGAGATGGATGAGCCTAAAGGGATTACAAAGACACAGCAGCTCAGAAAATTCACTGTAAATTCTAATAAGAAAAGAACACCCAAATTTTGGCTGAGGGTCTCAGACTAAACACAGAGGCTTACATCGAATGCCTTGAGGGGGCAGTGCTGTCCTGGATCAAGAGGGTGGTTGCTGGAAAGGCCTATGTCTGGGAATACGGCTCTGAACCATTAGTAACAAATCTGAACAAGCAGTAATGGCTGTCAGACAATTTCTGCGGCACGATCACCCCTTATATGTGGCTACCTAACTCCCCAGACTGCAAACCCCTAGTTTATTATGTGTGGGGCACAAATGAGCGAGAGATCAAAAAAACTCCTTGAAACACTAAAAATGAACTGAAGGCAAGGATTATCGCAGCATCCACCAACTTAAACTAGAAGACCGTGTAGTAGATTCCGAAGTCGTCTGGAGGCCGTGGTTGAAGCTAATGACGACTTTATTCAATAAATTTGCTCTTTAGTATTTCAAGATATTTTTTTCTGTAATTTTGGTAAATATATCTTTTAAAATGAGACGACAGTATTATTTTTATGTTTTGCGTAATTTAGACCACAATTTATCCATCGCTCCATCAGGTCTGATAAAAATTATCGGTACTACTGCTATAAGAAGAAAATTACAACATATATCAATTCGGCATTTAATCTCCTACGGAGTAGTTCTTTTGTGAAACCTGTCAAAGTAAGATTATATGTGTTTTGTTCAAAATACCTTTCGCGTTCGAAATTTACTTAATGCGGCTTATCACAAATAAGGGGAACAAATTACAAGCGGCAAGACCTGCGGGATGTGGTTACTGTAGGGCATAGGGAATGCTGTGCGTGACCCAAAACTGCTGCACAGAAAACTACAATGTATATCAATTCGGCATTTAATCTCCTACGGAGTAGTTCTCTAGTGAAACCTGTCCAAGTAAGATTATATGTGTTTTGTTCAAAATGCCTTTAGTGTTCGAAATTTACTTAATGCGGCTTACAAGGCCTCATCAAAAGGCATTCGGGCTGATGCTATAAAAATAAAGCTACAAGACATATTAATTCAGCATTTAATATCCTTCAAATCGATAAAGAAAGATAGAAAGATTGAAAACGTGAGAAAGAGAGAGCAAAAAAGAAAAAGCTAGCAAGAAAAGGAAATGACGAACATGGGAAGAAACGAGAGAGAAACAGTGAGTGCCGTCTGAAGCCACACATTTCTAGCATCATCTCCATTGATGGCAGAATTCCTGGAACGTCTTTTTCGGATAGTGAGCGGCTATCTCGTCGGATTTTCTTGGATTTCCTCGACGTTATAAAAACTTGTTCCTTTCAAGTGTGATTTGATGTTTGAAGAGGACCAAGTTGCAACGGGCAAGACCAGGGGGATGTGGTTACTGTCGGGCATAGGGAATGTTGTACCTGGCCCAAAACTGTTGCATAGTCGGGAGTGATTGGGCGGTGGCCGTCGCTTTGCTCGTCCCAGCTTTCCGGAAACACTGTGGAGCGCTAAATCGACTACATTCGACAACTTTGAAAATTTGACACTCACTTCAAGGCAAATCGGATAATGGTTGAACCATCGAGTAACCTCCATAACATAACTGTTTACATGGATGAGGGAACAAGGAGTAGAAGGAATAGTAAAAATAGAGGCATCGCTAAAATTTACAAATAGTAGGTAGTTATGGAGAGCCATATCTCCAGTCCACGTGATGTAGAGGCACGAAGCCTACAAGATTTTCATCGCCTTCCATTTTCATTTTCCGATATATATATATATATATATATATATATATATATATATATATATATATATGTCTTTAATGTAGATAAAATGTATTTAATAAATAAATTGTCGGACTTTGTCCATTTCTCCATATATATATATATATATATATATATATATATATATATATATATATATATATATATATGTGTGTGTAGTAGTCAAGCGTTGCTTTCACGACGCTTAACACTACATTTGAATGGAAACTCTAACATGTTTAGGCATTTAAAACAACATGCCTAGCCGCTCACACAATTCCGTAAAATTCTTGTCGAAAAGACGATTATACTTAAACATGAAAACAATAAACAAAACTAAAAATTCTTGAAGCTATATACATAAAACAGTTGAAACCTAACCTAAACAAAATAAACTTTGAAATCTCCACAAATATCCTTAAATGTCTATAATTGTTAACAGAAACCATTGGTTCATACCAACGGCTTCCCATACTTAATACTTCTCGAATTCATTCTCGCGTGGTCATGTGTGACGTCATGAGCTGTGGTGCGATTTTCGTTTCCAGCGTCTTATATGCACGTGTTTATCGTTCCTTGGAAATCATCCATGTAAACAGAAACAGACTATCATCACATTCTTGTCCGGATATTGCTTAATATATTGTACAGTAATTGTCATCTTTGATAATGGCTTATGTAAGCCGAAAGCTTAGATTGGATTAAAAAATATGTATCAATATTGTGATTTTCTTTCTTCGTTTAATGATAATGTTATTAAGCTTATCAGACGTTATGAAAAGAATTTACATAAAATAAATAGACAACACTTGTCTATATTATTTAATGAAACGTATGCATATATATATATATATATATATATATATATATATATATATATATATATATATATATGTGGCACCATTTAACGAGGCAGAAAAAGAAAAGAAAGAAAAGAAGGAAAGGAGAGGCTAAGGACTGAATCGTGGGTGATAAGCAGAACACACACACGGGCTAAGAGACAATGGATAAGAGATATTTTGATAAGTAACAAATGGCGAAAGGGTGTCATTACAATGACAGGGAAATTCTGAGTAAAAAGAAAGGGAAAGAAAGAAAGAAAGAATCAGATATGTTTTGGCGACGGCTGTGTTATCTAAGGATATGAAAACAAACTATTGGTACGGGAAGGCATCTTATTATCAACTACAGACCGACTGGCCAAAGAAAAATTCAAATGAAAATGTTATTTCGATAAGTGACGAAAAACAGGCAACTAAAAAGGACTTTGGACAGATATGAAAAATTAAAGCCACCCACGAGTGTCCGCTGACCGATTTCCTTCGACGGAACATCCTTGGCCTGCGATAAAAAAATTAAGTTATCAGAAATATGTACCGAAGGGAAATGAATGGGAATTTAGAAATGTCTTTTCGGGGCGACGTTGGCCGTGTTAAGAAGACCGCCCATTCGGATAATTAGCGATAAAATGGCTGACGAAAACCACGTGTAGAACAAGAGTTATGACCGCCATTCTTCATATTGTCCCGTTTGCGGCTAGAGAAATGATAACGGCGATTAAGAGGAAGAAAAGGAAAAGAAGGGATAATTTTTTTTAGTTAAGCAAGATATTTTTTTTTCCGAAACAAAGCCGCGGATTCGTCCACGCCCGACTAAGACATCATTGGTCGAGTAGTGATCACGTGACGCACGAAGGAGGCTGTCGCCGCCTCATCCAGAGTATAGGTATGAGAAGCTGCTACGAAGAAGTGGGGAGGGCAGTTCACGCCCCTCTGAAGTATGGTTAGAAGGTGGGAGTAAGGAAAGTCTCCCAAAAATGGAAAAAAATGGAAATTCCTAACCAGAGAGGTGGATATGTATTTAGAATTATCGAGGAAACCCCGACGCCGACAGACCCACCCAGGTTTTGATCGGCGTCCATGTAAGCGAAGCCACAACGAGCAGAAATCAGTTCCAGTGAGTTCAAGTGAGTTCAGTTTCAGAAAAGTTTGAGTTGAGTCTCCAGTTGAAGCCGCCTCGCAGATAGCTGACCAAGATTCACGCAAATTCCGGACTCCTCTTCAACCCAAGAACAATTATTTTGAAGAGCGACTTAGAACCAGACCACCGAAATAAGTTTTTCGACTTTCGTCCAAAGACACACCGAAACACAAATTTCTTAGAGAGCAAACAACTTGAAGCGTTAAAACTTGCCTAGCGGAAAACGACGTGTCACAATCCATAGAACGGGTCGGGAGATAGATGCAGTCCTATGTATCGAACAACTAGACATAAAGTTTGTTACCTTTTTCTTTGATACCTTGAACTTTTG